CTCTGCTTACCAGAACCACTTTCCTGAAACTGTATTCCATGGAGACTCACCTACAATTGCGGAACTGCACGAGACCCACCCTTGATCCAACCTTGAATGGAATCTACTTTCCCTATTGTTAAAAACTTTGGACTCATGGCCCCTCTCCCTCTACTCGCAGGTATCGCATTTTCAATGACCCCTCTGGAAGACAACTGTTTATAGCAGAGATAGTGTAAACGGGAGAGGGGGAAAGGGCTGAGGGTCAAACATAGGATAAAAAACATATATATATGTATACATATGTATGAAAGTAGAAATGGAATAGTATTGGTGATAACATGCTTGATTAAGACACTATGCAGTTTATCCTAGATGGGAAACTACACTTAGTGTGTTGTGATGATGCTCAGGGAATGAGTGTTAGGTAATATAATTTAATAAAATAAAATAAAATAAAAAAAAAGCAGGAGGAAAAAAAAAATACATGCCTTGGGGCCAATGGGTGGTATGGTGGTTAAGACGCTGGATCCTATATTGCCAACTCTGTAGTTCAAGTCCCAGACCCAGCAGCCTGAAAAACACACCAGGGACATGTGTGTGCATGCCCAAAATTCCAAGAGGAGAATGGAGGAAAAGGGACTGTGGTGTGGTCATCTGCCCTGAGGAGTGATTTCTCACTTTTCTTCTCTTTCTGTCCCTCTGTTTTCTTCTGGTGAGTGCACACCTCCTACGGCAAAAATGAAAAATACATGCTTCAAATGATAATGTGTATTTTACAAAAATGCATAGATAAACACATTAAGATACACCTTAGAAGGAGGGCAATTGGACAGGAAGTTGGAAGGAAGGGCAGTTGGGAGGAAGGAAGAGAAGAAGGCAGTGACAATGGTAATATGCCTTGAACTGAGAAGTTTGACAGAGAGAGGAGGGAAGCAAAAATAAGCCAAAATGACCAACACCACCCAAGTATAAAAACTCTGAACTTTGGGCCAGTCTGTGGCATGGTAGATGAGGCAGCTAGATCCCACATGGCTGACTCCTTGATTCAAGCCCTGGACCCAGCAGCTCAAAAAACACAGAGTGCATGTGCATAGATGCCCAAAATCTCAAAAGAAAAAATGAAGGAGAAGGGACTAGGGAACGACCCCCCCTCTATAGAGGGTTGTTTTCTCACTTTCCCTCTCTCCCTCTCTTTGGCAAACATGCACACCCTTTAGCAAAAAAAAAAAAAAAAAAAAAAAAAAAAAAAAAAAAAAAAAAAAAAAAAACCTGCACTAATGATGGTGTGGAAAGAGAAGCAGGACAATCCTCAGTCAGCTACTTCTGAACACTCCAGCACGGTGAGATAATTACTGTCGGTGATCAGATTAAAAATGACTCCACCATAATAACATGCTTTCACCCTCCACAGTCCTCCTCCTTTGCAAATAAAGGAGTTCCTTAACTTGGGCCTCACTGCCTACAAGAGAACAAAAAGAAAAACCGTCTCTGTGTCCATCCCACAAGGTACAACATGGCCACTCCACAACTTGGCATCTCAGGCAGGGCCTGGTCCCTCTCTGAGATCACATGCAAAAGTGCCTGCATGCATATTTTCTAGAGACAAGATCCATGGCTTTCCTGAGGTTTTCCAAGGGATTTGACCTTGTAGAATCACTACTACAAAAAGAAAGAAATAAAGACAGACAGAGAGAGAGAGGGAAAGAAATAAGAAAAGGAAGGAAGGAAGGAAGGAAGGAACGAAATAAGAAAGAATGAAAAGGAAGAAGGAAAAAAGCAGAGAAGAAAGAAAAAAAGCAGAGAAGAAAGAAAAGGAAAGAGAGAAAGAGAGAAAGGAAGGAAGAAAAAAGAAAGAAGGAAGGAAGAAAGAAAGAAAGAGGAAGAGAAAAAACGTGTGCTTAGTATTGCTGATTAGGCATAACCTTGAAAAAAAACATGAGTATATAGGGATCGTACTTCTATTTCTCCGTATGTTTGGAATTTTCCACAATGAAAAAATATACTAGTTTCTAAGAAAAGGGGGGGAAAAAGACAACCCTTTTGATCTAACAAGGGGTATCTAAAGGATTAGAATGGCCATTGAGGATCACGTACAGAGGTGACAGCCAGACAATATCCACTAGCATAGAGCTAGCGGTGATAATCACAGCAGGGAGACTTCCCCAAGAAAGTTCTATCCGTCTTTTATTCTCATGTACATAGAAAGCCTTTGTGAAAGCTCCTGGGCATCACAGACATGGGGGCTGCCTCCCACTTCATCTCTAATTCTTCCCACTGTGCTACCACTTTGCAATGTGGGATCAGTGTACTGGGGTGAGTGAGAAAATGACCTAACTTCAGCTCCAGGTGTAGTCCCTGTTTGATCCAATTCCTCTCTTACTACCATATAACTGGTCCAAATAACCTAGGCTTAAACCCATCAGAATTTGGCAAAGTCCAACCCAAAGGAATCAGTTCAGGTTTGGACATAGGACCTAGTTTGGACCAATAGAACATAGCAGGGGGTATGTGGGCAAGGGGACTTATCGCTTTTCTGAAAAAGTCACCAGGATACTTCTAGAAAGTGTTGGGGGTCAGCAGGTGGTGTGGTAGGTAAGGCACTGAACTCCCACATGGCCTACTGTGGTTCAAGTCCCAGACCTGGTGGCTTGCTTTCTCTTTCCCCTTCTTTCTCTCTCTGGTGAGTACATGTGCCCTATAATAAGTTAAAACATAATAATAATGATAAATAAAATTAAATTAATAATTTTTTTTTTAAAAAGGTGAAGTGTTAAGATTTTAAGCCTCAGTCTGCTGCAGCCACTTGATCACTGTCAGGAAAGTGAGGTTTACAATAAAGCTAACGCCAAAGAACACAGGATTGCTGAATTCAAAGAAATGGAGACCACCATGCCACTGCTAGACCCCCTAGGTCAAACAGAACCCTAAACTGCTCTACTTCCCATCTTTTACATTGCCCAACCAAGAAACTGCCTTTGTTACTTAACTGGTTGTAACTGGTTTCCTGCTGCTTGCAAATGAGTCACAATTAATAAAAGGTCCTGACGCTAAGTGTTTGCATTGAAACTAGGTTGATCCGTTCCCCTACCGCCACACAAAAAGAAGTGAAGGGAAAATGGAGCTCATGTGTATTGAGCTCAAAAGAGTTCCATAGCAACAATACTGCCCTACATCGCTAGACATGGATGCAGCCATCGGGGACAGCGGTGGTTTGGTGGTTAAGGCAGCTGGATCACACATGGCTGATTGTGTGGTACAGGTCTCAGCCCAGCTTGAGAAATATGTCAGGCATGTGTGTATGCGTGCCCAAAATCCTGAGAGGAGAAATGAAGAAGGGATTGCAGCATAAACATTTCCCATGGGAGGGTGTTTTCTCTCTCTCTCTCTCTCTCTCTCTCTCTCTGTCTCTCACAAGCACATGCACCTTCAGGCAATATATTTAAAACAGAAACAAAAGGAGAAATAAATGCAGTCAGCAGATGAGTGACTTGCTGGAAGACTTGCAACTGCTTCTAATCCAGATATTTTATCATTGTAAGAAAATTTAAAATAGCCCAAGAACCGACTACAAAAAATGAATCTTTTCACCAAAAAAATCTAAAAATGGGACATTAAAGTAAAACTTATTCACAGATAATGATACATATCTGGAACCAGCAGTTGGCGTAATGGCTATGTCACTGGACTCGCACAAAGTCAACCATGGTTCAAGCCCCAGACCTGATGGCTTAAAACTCACATCGGGCATGTGTATGGGCCTGCCCAAAAACCCCAAGAGGAGAATGGAGGAGAAGGGCCTGCAGCATTGCCATCTCCCCTAGGGGGTGATTTCTCACTTTCTGTCTCTCCAGTGAGCACGCATGCCCTATAGCAAAAAATCTCTCAAAAAAAAAAGAAAGAAAGAAAGAAAGAAAGAAAGAAAGAAAGAAAGAAAGAAAGAAAGAAAGAAAGAAAATGTCATATATCTGGGAGGAATTCATAATTTTGTTTTTTATCCTAAGCTATACCCAGAATGGATAAAATGGCTGTCTCAGGAAAATATTTCCCTCAAGAAAATATTTAGGTTGGGTTCATAATAAAAACCTTTGCCAATAGCAACTTTGGCTACATTTTAAAACTTGTGGTGTAGACAGGTCCTGACTCTAATCCTCAGTTAGTTGGGTGTTTGGGGGTAGGGTTTTGTTTTTTGTCCACCTCGGGAATCTCTCTATCTTGAGCCTTTTCCCATCACTTGAAATGACCTGGATTCCAAATGCTTTGTTTTCCTGAACACAGCCAACTCCATTTCCCATTATGTCCCATCTCTCTTGGATTCAGCCAGCAGCTTTCCAGGCTGGTAGGACAGAAGTGACATATGTGTCCTCTAAAAACACTCCAGAGCATTTGTTGAGCACCTCCTATACAACAGGGACTGTAGGAAACTACTGTGAATCCTCCTCAAAGCCTTACAACATAGGCTTTATTTTTCCAGATTTACAGATGTAGAAACTGACACCCAAAGTCTCTGCTGGCAAGTGGGAGAGCCACCTCCAAAATCTGGTCTGTCTGCCTCCACCACCCAGCTCTCTGCAGGGCACTGCTCAAGTAAATGCCAATGCAGATAAACACCCACATAGGTAAGTACCAGCACAGCTAAATGCCCACACACCTGCTTTGAGCAGCACTTTGACACAATCCAGATGCTCCCGTGCACAGGCGACATGCAGAGGGGTCCCAAAGTGGCAATCATGTGCTTCCAGATTGGCCCCAACATCAATGAGAAGCCTCACGCATTCGGAGCTCCCTTAAAGCAGACAGAAAAGGATAGAAAATGTCCATGAATATTTACACTGGAAATAATAGGCATGATAGAAATGCAGCTGAAACAGGCTAGTTGTGCTTAGCTACAGGAGAGAGAGGGAAACCAAGCCTGTATTTTGAACTAAGGAACAGTTTACAACCCCACATGGCCTGCAGGAAGCAAAGAAATGGCTCTCTTCAAAGGCCTGCCTGGTACAGTCACCCTCTTGCTCAGAGGTCAGGTTGGAAATAGCACCTGTAAACCTCTAAACAGCCTGAGAAACCCCTTCTTACTGCTCCCACTTCAGAGGCATCTCCTGTGCTGGGTCCAGGGAGTGACTGGTATTGACACTGGGCACCTGGCACTTGGGCCAGCCTCCTGGGTGATCTCCTTCTGACTTTCTTACCACAGGTCACCCTCGAGTCTCTTTCCTGGCTCTTCCTACTGTGTTTTTCATTCAGGTTTGGATCAGGCTCAGTGACTTCAGCTGTCCTTTCTCAGCACATTCTGTCCCAGGTTCTACCCTCTCAGATAGCCTAATTACCTTTCCACTGTGGATAGCTCCCCAACTTCCGCCTCTAGCCCTGAGACGCGGCACCATACCTACCACCATGTGACCATTCTCATCTGGGTATCTCAACCCTTCCCCCTTCTTTCTGGGGTCCCTGCTCCCAGTCCAATCTCTTTCAACCTGTGGCATTACTCCTGGCTCAGACCTGAAGGGTTGTTTTTGGTTTTGTTTTTTCTTGGACCCACCCCCCCCATACCACCATCCTACTTTGGGCTCTGGATTGTTCTGAGGGCACTTACACACCGCCCTCCTTCCAGAACTCCTGTGGCCACCCTTTCAGTCCATCTACACAGATGGTCACTAAGTTCTCCAAAAATTTGTTTTCATCATTCCACATCTGCTCAAAAACCTGCAAAACCTCTCTGCAGGCATCCCCATGACTTGCAGGGGTCAAATGATAACCTATCGGCTGAAATTAAGAGGAAGTACCATGGATTTGTGGTCCCACCTGGTGCCTGAAAGGGACCCCACACCCTACACCCCAGCAAAACAAACCCAATGAGAATCAAATATCATGTTGGCTCATCAAGATAAGGCTACAATTTGCAACCTTTGCTCAAAGGGGTAAAATCCAAACTCCTAAGTCTATTGATTAAACATGAGCTAGTCTGTCTAGTCCTACCTGCTGTTGCTCCTCCACTAGAAGTTTCTGATTCAGAAAGATTGGATAAGCCATTTTCCTTGTGCTCTGTCCATTTTTTGAGAACAGGTAAAGTTCCAGCTGCTCCCTGGCACCCCAAAGCCAGCCTCATCCTCTGAGAGTACCAGTCAGAGCATGCCCCAGACCAGCCCCTGGCCCCAACCTCAGAATCCTCTGCCAGAGAGATCAGGAGGCTGCAGGGCAAACTACAGAAGGGACTGAGGGAGCACTATAGGCCTGATTGATCTCCAAAGCTACCACCACCAGCACCAGGAAACTCAGCTAAAAACCAGAATTCTATCATAGAATTGACTGTCACCTATTATACTCATCCTAGAAAGCAGGAAACTTCTGAAGCCCACCCAGCTAGGTCAGCCCAGCCGCTCACCAACTCACCACTCATGCAGGCCTCATGTAGGGGGGATGCGGTGTACAGGGGGGGGTTAACCTTCGCTCCATAGGACAGCAGGAGCTTTACACACTCAATGCTGCCCGAGGCGCAGGCATCACAGAGAGGGGTGCTGCCATCGATGTTGCGGGCATCCACCTCACGGGAGAAGAGACAAGTGTCAAAGAAAGGGGAGGCACTGTGCAACTCGCTTTCTCACTCTGATGCAGATACATCTTTGCAAAGACACTTTTCAAAATCACTAGTTTGCGGGGCCGGCAGGGGGCATGGTGGTGAAGGGTGCTGAACTCCCACATGACCAACTGCGGGTCGAGTCCCGGACCTAGCTGCTTGTTTTCTCACTTGCCCTTTTTCTCTCTTGCTCTGTCCCTCTCTGGTCAAGTTAAAAGAAAGAAAGAAAGAAAGTTAAATAAATAATTCTTAAAAAAAAAATCAATAGTTTGCTATTATGTGCTAAGGCACTGAGCTAGGCAAGGGAGTTCAAAGGGAAAGATATGGTTGGGGGTGCCCATCAGCTTCCTAAGTATGGAAGTTACTTAGGAGTTGGGGTTCTTGTCTTTTCAGACAGGATTAAGCTTGGCCTTAACATCTGAACATTTAATAAGTACTGAGCAGGAAATGAAAGCCTTAGCTTGCCAGCTGGGGGAGGCAGCGTATAAAATGGGTTTAACTCAAGTCTCAGACTGCCTACCATGCCTCGCCCAGTGAGAAAATCATGGGCCAGGAAAAAGTCAACTCCCCAGATTGGCAAACTGTACTTAGAATTTGTCCAAATTCAGCTTCTATTTGGGTACATGCTGAACCTTGTTCCATTCCAAGCTTTGGAAACATTAAACACTACACCATCTTCACACCTTACCCACCCCTTGAACTTTGACACCAGGGCCCTGCATTCCTTACAGGTCATTTGGTACCGTGTGGGGTCAGCTCACCAGAGCTGGCTGCCACACAGCCAGGAATTCTGCTTCCATAGACCACCAGCGGCTTAAAGCAGCCATACTCTGTACTGTGGGTATTTACACTAAAGAAAGCAGCAAATTAAAATTTTGGTTTTGTTCTTACTTTCCCCCAGTGATCCAGTTTGCCAACCTCCCATTTAGTCATCCCAGAGACCCCTGCTCTTTGGGCCAAAGCAGCAGCTTAGAGTCCTGGCCAACTACCCTCCCAGAGAGCCTGTGTCTAGGGTGTAGCTAGCCTGCCAGCCCTGCCCACTCCTACCATTTTGCTAAATTGCCTTACTGGGCCTGTCCCTAGTCTAGTGGTTAAGAAGCCAGAGCCCAAATAGCTAACCACATGGTTCAAATCACAGCCATTGGAGCTTGAAAAACACACTGGCCACGTGTGCATGTGTGCTCTAAATCCCAACAGAATAAAGAAATGGAGAAGGGATTTGGCATGATCACGCCCTATAGGGGGAGTATTTTCTCCCTCTCCCTCTCCTTGTCTCTCTCTCTCTGGCAAATTTTTAAAAAACACCAACAAAAATTTCCCTTCTTGGCCACCAACCCCTCCTTACATGTAGCCAGGACCCAAGTACTACCCAGCCGGCTTCCTGGTTCTCAACGTGCTGACACCATACCACCTGCCTCCTTCCCAGTCCTCCAGCAAATCCTGCTCTGGTCTCATTCCACTTTTACCTCCCATTTCCCTCAGAAATCTCTCTCCATATGTTTGTACATGATAGGAGGCTCGTCCCCAGCCATTTCCTTTCCTCCCTCTGGAGTTCTCCTGGGTCTTTTCCCTTCCATTCCCACAGCTGCAGCGGCTCAGGGGTCAATCCTGAAGCCAATCACCTGGGCCCCGGCTGCCAGCAGCAGCTGTACACACTTCGCCTGGCCCTGCAGACTGGCCGCGTGCAGGGGTGTGATGGAGTCCACTGTGACCTGGTTGACACAGGCGCCGCTCTCGATCAGCTGCTGCAGCTGCAGGCTCTCACCCCGCTGGGCTGCCTCATGCACTGGAGTCCGCTCCACCCAGAAACCTGGAAAGGAAACAGATGTCATTCTAAAATCCTGCCACGTCCATGGATGACAAATGAACACATATAAGACTCCAGGACCCCTTGACGACAGCCAAGGCACTGTGTGCAATCACGTCGTTGGCCCTTAACATTCCTACGAAAATCCCAAGCTATGCCCAGTGCCTGGAGGTTGGAGTCCAAACTCCTTGACAGTCTCAGTCATGTGAACCTGGATCGCCTCCAATAACCCCGCCTCCCACCACTGTCCTCACATAAACCTCGCTCTGTAGCTCCTCACTGCCCCCTGCAGTTCACACCTGTGCCTCTGCAACTATCCTCTCTATCTGAAATGCCTAACTCCTCTCCACCCTCCCACCCCCAACCATCCACTCTGCAGTCTCCTGTTTACAAGCTTACATCCTCCATATGGATCCAGATGAAACATCTCTGGAAAACACTGCTTTATAATACTCACATACACACATTGGTGTTACAGTATTTAGTGTCTCCCTCCTCTCCTGTGAGTACCTTGAAAGTAGGGATCGTGTTTTAATTACTTAATTGTTGTGGATTTCTTGGGATTTTCTATGTATAAGATCATGTCATATGTGAATAGAGGGTTTTCTTTCTTCCTTTCAATCTGGAGTATTTTTATTTCCTTTTATTTCTTAATTGCTTTGGCTAGGACTTGCAGTACAATGTTGAACAGTTGTGGTGAGAGCAGGCATCCTTGTCCTGTTCCAAACAGTTCAATCTTCCACCTTTAAGGATGATGTTACTTGTGGGTTTTTCATAGATTCTTTCCGCCATGTTGAGGAAGTTCCTTTCCATTCCATTTGCTGAGTGTTTTTATTGTGAAGGATGTTGAATTTTCTCAAATGCTTTTTCTGTATCTACTACAATGATTGAGTTTTTTCCACTTACTTCTTTCCGAATAATGTATTCCAAAAATTGTTTTTCTTACATGAAGCCTCCTTGCAATCCTGGAATAAACCCCACTTGACCAGGGTATATAGCCTCTTTTATGTGCTGCTCAGTTCAGTTTGCTAGTATTCTGTCAAGGATTTCTATGTCTATTATTTTGTTTGTTGTTTGCTTGCCACAGAGTGTTTACACTTACCAGAGAGAGAGAGATTGTGGGGGAGAGAGAGAGAGAAAGTGAGACAGCACCTTCCAGGAGGTATGGCCACACCACAGTCCCTTCTCTTCCATCTCTCCCTTTGGAGGAACCTCCTGAACTGTGAGGGAAAAAATTCTGTTCTTTAAAGTCATCCAGTTTGTGATAGTCCGCATGGCAACCACAGTGGACTAACAGACTATGGTTCATAGTATTCCCTTGTGATCCATGGTAATGGCCCCTTTTCATTCCAGATTTTAATAATTTGAGTGATTTCTTTTTTTCTTGATCAACTTGTATAAATGTCCATTTTGTTGATCTTTTCAAAAACCAACTTTTGGTTTTGTTTTCCTATTCTCTATTTCATTATTTTCTGTTCTAATCTTTATTATTATTGCTTACCCTCTGTTTTATTTAGGTTTAGTTTGCTCTTCTTTTTCCTGTGTTTTTATCTGAGCTCTTCCTTCTTTTTTAATATAGATGTTCAGCTATAGATTTCCTCACAGTACTGCTTTAGCTAAAATCCTGTAAATTTCATATGTTGGTCTTCATTTTCATTCATCTCAAAGTATAATTATACATTTTTGCATTCTCACCCTGTAAATGTCCAACAAATGACTATTGAGTGACAAATAAACAAAGGCACTATTCATATCCCAAAATGGAATGAAATTCTCTGAGATCTTCCATTTTCTTTTTATTTTTCAGAGAGATTTTTGCTATAGAACATGTGCACTCACTGGAGGGACAGAGAGAGAGAGAGAGAAAGCAAGAAATCACCTTCCCGAGGTGGACGGCCACACCACAATCCCTTCTCCATTCTCCTCTTGGGATCTTGGGAACGTGAACACACATGTCTGGCGTGAGTTTTAAGCTACTGGGTCCGGGACTCCAACTATGGTCTGCTATGTGGGAGTCCAGCAACATAACCATTATGCCACCTGCTAATCCCAATCTTCCATCTTTCTTATACTGTCTCTTAAGTCTTTTCATTTCTCCCTTCCCCATCACCTCTCTAAGTTTACAAAATGGAGTATCTGGCCTCCTACACCTTTCTTTACCTTCAAACCTGAGCCTGCATCAGAAGCACTACAAATGAGTCTCTGAGTCAGTAGATCTCAGGTGGGGTCTAAAAGTACATTTCTAAAGAAGTCCCAGATGATGCTGATGCTGCTGGTCTAGGGACCACACTTGAGAATCACTGCTCAAGACAGTACTTTTCCCTCTGAATAAAGCTCTCTTCCCTCCTTGGCACTGGCCTCCTGGTCTCACTACCTTCCAATCCTAAAAAACTTCCACTTGTAACTTTCAAGACTCAAACCCAGTGATCTTTTCTCCAGGAGGCCTTGCCCCCTTCAGCCCTCCTCTGTGCTCCTGCAACCTGCTGTCTCTTCTAGCACTGTCATGCTGTGGGCTTGCTCTCTGCTATACAGAAACAGACTAGATAAGGGGAAGTCCCTGAACCCATCCATTCCATCCAGATGATCAATCTAAGTTCATCATAGCTGCCCTGTTTCCCATAGAACATGACCCAACTCAAGCTAATGAGAATCAAGAGAGAGCCTGCTGAGAGGTCTCCAAGCTTCATCGCTCTCCACATTCCCAGGAAGGAGCTGCAGGAGTAAACATCGCCCTTCTTCCTCAGGTATTGCCTCAATGTGAACTTGGACCTACTGCAGCCATCTGACTACCTGCCTGAAGATAGAACCAACAGAACAGCAAAGGCAGGAGACCAGCACCTGGAGGACAATGGGTCAATGTTTATATGGGACTTGGAGCTGGTCTTCCTATGTTGTAAGATTCATGTTTCTTTATTATCTGAACTGGATGCAGACAAAAGCACACTAAGGTTGAGATGGTAAACTCACCAAATGCAGAAATCATGACTATGTGTTCTCAGTACCCAGCTCAGACCCAGTAGTCCAGACACTGGTTATAATATAAATGACAACAGTGCTGCATTAGTACTGACATATCCTTATGTCAAGTGCTCTACCTCAGGCAGACAAGATCAATGCAGCTCTTCAGAATGAACAGTTTCCATTACTATATTTCCCTCGGAAACCAAATTTGTCCTCCCATTTCTTTTAAGATTTAATTTTATTTATCATTGTTATTATTTTTCTATTTACTGTAGGACATCAGAGAGAGAGAAAGAGAGAACAAACCACCAGATCCAGGACTTGAACTGTGGTCAGCTATATGGGAGTTCAGTGCCTCAACCATCACACCGCCTCCTGCTGGTCCTTTTTTTTTGAGAGAGATTTTTGCTATAGGGTATGTGCACTTGCCAGAGACACAGAGAGAGACAGACAGAAAGCAAGAAATTACTCCTCCCCGCCCCCCCCAAGGGGGATGGCCACGTCATAATCCCTTCTCCTCCAATTTCCTCACAGGATTTTGGGCACACATGCACATGTGTTCAACATGAGTTTTAAGGCACCAGGTCCAGTACTCAAACTATGGTCAATTATGTGAGAGTCCAATTATGTGAGATGTAACCATTATGTCATCTGCTGGCCCCTGTGCCCAAATTTTACCAAGAGCACTTCTACAAACCTTACTGGGGAAGAACTGCTCAGTTAGGTATTAATGATTATCAGTTCTGTCCTCATTTCTACCCTGTGTAAGCCCCCACCCCTACTCCACCAGGGGCATTGAATCCAGAGGCTAAGAGCTCTCTAGGACCAGAGCTGCTCAGAACTGCTCAGGTCTCAACCTCAATTTTAAAAGAAAATCTAATTTTATTTCTTTATTCGGCCAGTCTATAAAGAAAATGCAACTAGTTGCAAATTTTCTAGTGAATTAACATCAGCTGCAATGGTCTTAGGGCAGCCATTGAGAGTGGAGATCAGAAGAAACAGATAAAAATAATAAAAACTTCTAAAAGAGAGAGAGAAATAAAAATGCCAAAGAGCATAATCAACAGCATGAAAAAGCAACCCATAAGTGGGAGAAAAGTTTTGCAAATCATATATCTACCTAGGAAATTAAAAAAAAAAAAATCCTACAACTCAAAAACACACACAAAAAAAATCTGATATAAAAATGGGCAAGGGATTTGAATAGACATTTCTCCCAAAAAGATATACACATACAGCCAGCAAGGAGATGCTAGAGAAATGCAAATGAAAACCACAATGAGATACCACTCCACACCCTCTAAGTTTCCTATTATCACAAAAACAAAGTGTTGGCCAAGTTATAGAGAAATTGGAAACTTTGCGCACTGTTGGCGGGGATGGAAAATAGTGCAGCTATTAAGATAAGAAGGTTCTGGGACCAGCAGGTGGTGTGGCGGTTAAGGTGCTGGACACTCCCACATGGCTTACCACGGTTCAAGTCCGGGACCTGGTGGCTTGCTTTCTCACTTTCTCTCTCTCTCTTTGTCTGTCTCTCTCTGATCGAATTAAAATAAATGAATAAATAACTAAAATTAAACAAATAATTCTTTAAAAAAAAAAAAAAGATAAGCAGGTTCCTAGAGAGAACTTGGGAGCAGTCAGGATGAGGTCTGAGGCTAATGGTGGAAGAGCCATGAGGGCAGCAGATGAAGGCGCAACTGTTACCGCGTTTGCAGTGGGTGGTGACCTCGAAGACCCTGGAGACCTTCGTGATGTCAGCGCCCCTGGCCTTCTTGGCAACGCAGGCGACATTGTTGGCCATGGCTATCTTGGCGATGCTGGGGATATTGACAATGTCGGTGAGTTCAGCAATCCTGGCCTTTCTAGAGACACCGACAACCTTGCTGCCCTGGCAAACCTGGTGACCCTGGTACCTTCAGCGACCTGGGAAATCCTGGAGACCTTGGCCACCGTGGCCACCTTGACAGCCCAGGTGATCCTGACAATTCTGGCGACTTTGGCCACACTGGCAACCTTGACAACTTCGGTGGCCCAGACAA